CTTGTTCACTTGTTATGTCTATTCTAGCAAAGAACAATCTATATGAAAAGGATTATTTTTGTCTTATTCATCCCTGTATCCCCAGTACCAAACACAGTGCTTGACTTTTAACAAATAAAAATGAATCAAAACAATAAGAAAGAAAGACTAAGTCATTTGACAAGACATTTGTACTAGAGAAATCTAGATCCTGTTAGGGCACAGGTAGCTAAGGCAACTTGGTGGTTTGCTCCACTGGCCAATTTTTCTAAACCAAAAATATTTTGCAGAGTCTAGCATTTGTCTGTCATATGGCTTGATAACAGAATATCAGAGGGACGTGCGGGTGGCTCAGTTGGTTAAGCATCTGCCTTTGGCTCAGGTCATGATCTCAGGGTCCTGGGATTGAGTCCCGAATCAGGGTTCCTTGCTCAGCAGGGAACTGCCTGCCACTCCCCCATTCATGCTCCCTCTCTCTCTCTCTGACAAATTAATAAATAAATCTTTAAAAAAAAACGGAATATCAGAAATGGTGTAGATAACATTTTTCAAGACACGCCATAATCACAACCTTGAAACTTTTTTCTTAATTTTTATCTTTATCTAAATGTCCTTGTACTGACCACCGTGACATGGCACTGATATCCTCCACTGCTGTCCCAGGGACTGTGTCCACTGCAGAGAGTACTATATCACAGGTATACTCTTTTCTCAGCCTGACCCACATCCAAGGACCAAACAATTCAGGATTATAAAGGCTTGGCCACCCCAGCCCAACTGGGGACACATCTGAAAAGCCACTGTAGCTCCAAAGTTCCCCATGGGGTGCGTGGAAAGTGTCATTGGGCCTTCACCCCTCTGCGCATTCCTGCCTCCTTGTTACCCCTTCGTTAAGGGTTGATCTCTAGGGCATGTCTTATAAACCTCTTGAACACTAAAATTCGTGCAGAATCTGCCTCTCAAATAATCTCATCTGTGACAGCACTGGGAATGGTCTGAGAAAGCTGGTGATAGGATGGGGCTCTGCAGCTGGATCACTCACTGCCTGGCTGGTGACGTGGACCCTGTTCCTGGTGGGAGGTGGAGCGGAGAGAATCCGGCACAGGGGGCAGTCCAACTGTTCAAACTCTCACCATAGTAGGGTCAGACAGTATATCTGCAGAAGGGAACTCTTTAGCTAGAATGATGGGTGAGGTGTTTGAGAAATAGAGCAGAAATACTAACTATATGGACAACAGGAAAAGATCACAAAAAGTTGAGGACAAGCAATCATCAATGTAAAAACCAGAGGACCTCCCAAGTAAATACAAAAATGCTCTCGGATTCTACAGCTCCTGGGCAGAGAGAGCTAATCACCAGGAATAAGGATTAATCATCACAGTATTCAAATACTCGCAAACTTCAGCAAGGCAGACCTACTAAGTCAGGATCCTGGTTGGATCCTGACACAGGAGATATTTGGTTTGATGCCTCCTAAAATCTTGAATTCCCAGATTCCCTAAAACTTTCTGAAGCCACAAAAATGTTCGGCCCTTTCCTCCTTGGGAATCACATACACAGAAGCTTCTCCCTCCTCAGACAACATGTACCACCCTAACTTTCATCTACCTTCACCTCCTCTCCAGACCCACAGGTCCATAACAAGGGTTATGTCACAACAGAACCCACCTAGGACATACTAGGCCTAACAAAGAAAGAAAAAGGATATTCTACAAAGGAACTGCGAGATCCACCTGGTTTATATTAACCAGAAGAGTATATATGAGATTAATTTCTGAGGGTGTTTGCTCAAAGAGGTTAGAATTTAACTATTAGATAAGAAAAAGTTTATTGATTTGAGATGCTCTCCTGAACTATAGAATTTACAACCGGTAAGAATCTCAGATGGCATAAACTGACTTGTTAGAGTGGTTCCTGGAAACATGGAGAAAGTAATGGCTCATATTAAATGTTGTTGAAATGCCAGAAATACTATGGCAGATGGCAGAAGAGGGGATCACAAAGCTCTCAGAGTACATTCTAGAATACAAGTACTATGTAAGGCCAGAAAACCCATCAGATATTATGTTCTCCCAGAGGGCCCAGAAAACACACCATTTACCACACCATTTACCAAAGCCATAAGGAAGATACCAGTGAGAAGATATCCATATTAACAAGTTCTGTGGCGATTCTCTTCTGAAAGCCAGAACTGACAGAAGGAAATGCTGGTTTAGAACTGGGATCATTGATAGCAATGGGGATAATAGGTCTAGATGAAGATCAGAAGCCATGAGAAGCCAGGGGGACCTAATTATCATAAGAATGGCAAGGCTGGGGTTAGTGGGGGGCTGACACACAGAGAATTATTGAGGTAGTTTAAAGAATACAGCATCCCCAGGTGTAAAACAGACAGCTGACAAGTCTACTAGTGAATGTGTACAATCAAAATAAATCGAGAATGAATGAACAAATCTGAGGGAAGTTGTCCCAACAAAGTCACCATATCTTTTTCAACTTCCATGCCTCAGCGAATTTTTGGACTCAGAACCCTCTAATGTAAGAGGCCAAGAATCCAGAAGGAAAGAACTTGCAACACCATGGTAAGAATACGGGGTAATAATTCCCTCAAACCTTCTCCAGTGGGACCTATAGCTCTTTATTCAGGTAACTGTGCTCTGGGGGCAGGGAATACCCAAACATTTCAAGGGCACAGAGTTGACAGTGATACCAGAAGACCAAAAGCCTCTATATGCCAACACCCTCCTCATTAGAGTAAAGGCATTTGGAAGTCAGTAATAAATGGAGCCTTGGCCAAGGTCTAGCTTATAATGGGTCCCATTCATTAGCACCACAGACTGACCTGGTGATTTTCTCAGTCCCCAAATGTCTGATCGGAATAGACTAACACTATTAGTAACTGCCACAACACCCATATCAAGTCCATGGCCTATGAGGTAAAGAGTAGAATTATGAAGAAAGTTAAGAGAAAGAATCTGAAACTGCCCCACCCAACCCTGTGAATGCAATAAGTAAAAACAGCAGCAAAGTATGGGGCGGTAGAGAGAGGCAGAGAGTAGTGTCCCCTTAAGTATCTAACTGGCACACAGGAATGATTCTAATGAAATTGTCCAAGGCTGTTGGTGGTTCTATGCTGAAGCCCAACTTCTCGCTTTATCCACTACCATCATCTACCTTATCCTTCTCCCTTTTCCCACTCCTTCTGTCCCCCCACCTTCCAAAGGGGTTCATTCCAAGGGCACACCTTAACTCCATCTTAGAATGTGATTTCTGAGTAACTCAACTTGCAACAGTCATTTTTCACCTTGAATTTAGGTTACATTTTCTTTTTAAGTAGTTTTGGGCTTATCTTCAGGACCACTTCCCAATTTAATTGGGTAATGTTAGGTGTGGCTTCTACAAAACTTTTCCCAAAGCAGCAGCATGCTAGAAACTACTTTTGAAAAGTCTTTGTGAATCTTCTCTGGGAAGAATCTATGGTATAACTCCTGATCTATAGGTATACTCTGCATTTAAAATTACTGATTTTGTCAATCATCATTTCTTTATCAAAGATCTTAGGTAATCCTTCAATTCACTATTTGAAAAAAAAAAAGCTTTACTGACTCTATATTGACACAGAGCATTCAAAATTAGCTCAAATCTCATTTTCTGAGGAAAGCTTCTCATTGATTCCAAATGGAATTATTTTCTTTTCATTTCATCAGCATTTAAGTATATAAGCCATACAAACTATGTTCATAAACTTAACAGCTTCTTTGTAAGTATACTGAAGTTGTATATATAGACTCTACTTACACAAATAGACAATAAAAACAAACATGGTAAGACCTGCATTTCCCTTTTATTTTACATAACATTGCAATGTTCTCTGCTATCTAAAGAGTTATGGGTAATTTCAAAACATTACATTTTATATAAGAAACTACTAGCAATTAACTGTACCATGCAATCTTGAGCTTAAACTGTACAATTCCTCAACTATTTCTATGAATAAGTACAGCTTAACCAAATAAGCAAATAAGAACAATAAATAAATCAGGCCTATGTTTTTAAAAAGTAGCCCATACTAACTGGCAAATATACTCTGCCTTGAAACCTTAGGCAATGAGAGAGTCAACACATTCTAAATATTGTGCAAGCTGACGAAAGCACTTTCTGCTGTTGCATACAACTTCTTAAAATTAAACCTTATAATAAAAAAAAACCCAAACTATGTCTCTAGTTACAGCTGATTCTACTGATGAGTTTATTTCTATGAAAAACCAAGGCAACATATAGGTTTTAAAATAGCCCATGGTTTCTGTGGCTGCACAATAACAAATGGGATGGCTGTCCCATTAGTGTGAGAAAATTCTCTCAGAATACTTTACTAAATTATGGTGGAATACTCTTTTCTGAAAGAAAAAAATATTGGAAAACTTCGTAGTAGCACTTGGCCCACAATTAAATGTTACTTAAAATAGGTGTAATAGAGTAATGCATTTTAACCAAATAGTATAGATTTAATCAGAGACTCATGAATTGTGATTGGATGTCTTGGTTCTTAAACATCATTCTGGACTTGTGGATTATACTAACTCACACTCAATCCCCACTTCCTACCACAAAAGGGTCAGATATACCCACAAAGATGACTGGAAACCACATTTTATTAGCAGCCAGAAACAAAGTACAGACTGCCAATCATAAAATAGCTTGCTCAGGTAATTTGGTCAGTGACCAGTGTCTCATTCACCATAATCATGCGTTTCAATAACCACACAATCTAAACATTTTCATAAAAGTATCTTCAGGAATAGCAACAAAGACAACATTTTTTGAGATAGATGCATGACTTTATCTTTAAGTTTTAGGTCACTAATAATTAAGACTGTGTGTGTATGCATTTCATATAAATCACTTCTAATTACTAAATATACTACACCAAACTTGGACACATTTTATAGTTCATTATGTTAGGTTATCTTGAAATTTTTGAAATTCAATTCAAATATAGATAAAATAAAGATTATACATACTTGGAAGAAACTGCCTCCATGAATTCATCCAAAAAATCATCATATTCAGGACCTCTCACTCTTCTCTGCCGTAGTCCAATGTACAATGGATCTTTGAGTAAATCCTATTAAAAAAAGTTACCACAGATATAGAAATGATAGGGATGTCATTCACACTTTCTGAGCTCAGTTTCCTCATCTACAGATGTACAGAAATGGAAAAAAAATCTTTCCATACTAAGTGAGAATTACTACTACAGTATTATTTTGTATTACACAGAATATGTCCAGAGTATATGTCAAATAGGAAAAAGAATTATTAAACACTAAAACATTCTGTTTTATCTGGCAGAAATAAAAGGAATTAAAATCTTTTAGTGGTGCTAATTAGAAAAGTTCAATTCTCATTTTATAAGCAAAGTTTTTCACATAGAAAAGTAATACTGAGTTTTGAAATATTATATTAGTTTAGGAAATGGAAAGATACCAATTCTTTTCTTAGATTTGTTTTGTTTCTGAAAGCAAAAATCTTCAACAAACATTTTGATTATACCTTTAGTATATTAGCTGGCTGATGTTAAAAATAAATTTTTAGCCTTAACTAAAGTTTTCTTAAACTTTTTAAACTTTACAAAGTTCAAGTTTTTTCTAAAACTGATAGATATAAGACATTACTCTTACAAGTTTCAGTATATGGTATAATTTATATACTATAAAATACATAACAAAAGCTCCCAGTAAACTAGGAATAGAAATGAACTTCCTCAACCTAATAGCGGGTATCTGTGAAAAACCCACAGCTAACAACATATTTCACAGTGAAAGATTGAATGCTATTTCCCTAAACTGGAAACAAGACAAGAATATCTACTCTTTTTTAAAAAAAAGATTTTATTTATTTGTCAGAGGGAGAGAGTGCACAAGTTGGAGGAATGACAGGCAGAGGGAAAAGCAGGATCCCCACTGAGCAAGAAGCCCAATGCAGGACTTGGTCCCAGGACCCTGGGATCATGACCTGAGCAAAGGCAGATGCTTAACGACTGAGCCACCCATGCATCCCAAGGATACCGACTCTTGCCACTTCTATTCAACATGACATTGGAAACCCTAGCCATTACAATAAGGCAAGAAAAAGAAAATACAGGAATATGTATTAGAAGGAAGAAAGTAAACTTTTTATTTGTATATGAATGACCATGAACATGAAAAATATTTAGAAATCTACATACAAAATAATCCACTAGAAAAAAATATGGGAATTTAACACAATAGTGGGCTCTAAGACCAATATATACAAATCAACTATATCTCTATATACTAGCAATGAACAGTTGAAAATGAAATAAAATATACAACTCCATTTACAATATCATTCCAAAACATAAAATTCACAGGGACATATTTCAGAAAATATGTGTAAGCCTTATACAGTGGAAACTACAAAATTTTGCTGAATGAAATTTTAAAAGACAAACTGTTTTTATGGGCTGGAAAGAACATTACAATCTATGTCATGTAATAGACACACTGTCATCTTCAGTGACCTGAAAAAACAATGTATCTAAAGAACTGTGAATCTGGTGAAAGAGATATCCAGGCAGAATGCCAAATATGTAAACTGACTTGCCATAGTAAAATAAAGTTAAAACAGGGGATGAGATGAAGAAGAAAATGTTCAGCTTGTGAGCAAAAGTTAAAGAGAACATGGAAGGCACAGGACTTGCTTGTAAAGAATTTCCAAAGTAAAATAAGGACTGCCGTCAAAGATCAAGTGTGTGGTTTTAACAAGTTTTGTGAAAAGCTCTGAATGATTTAAAGTGGAGCCCCAAAAACCATCATGGCTAGCTAAAAAGAGCTGGTTCTGCACACACGGACATGCTAGTCAATATAGGGAGGTCTGTTCTGAAAAGAATGATGAGTAAGTCTTTTCTCTAACAGGGTAAACATTAATCTGATACATAGAAAGCTTAAGAAAAAATTAAGGGTGCTGTACTATTTGGATGATTTGGGACAGACACTTCAAAATGAACATTCTTCTCTGGGCCCCTGACTTTCCACAGGCGGAAAGCAGACAGAAAAAGCTGTTGAGCGGCAACACCACCATTTCTTATGGAAAAGGAAAGATATCTCAAAGGACAGACCCAAGAGCTCAGAGAGTAGACCCAAAGGCCTAAAAGAACAACGAACTACAGAATCATTCTAAGGAAACAGAACTAGGCCCCATTTAAAAAATATCCTGTGCCTTCAGGGTAGGTGGCCTGGCAACTTGAGTTCAGGGGCAATTCAGAATTGCCATGAACCCTGAGGGCAATATGATTTCTAATCCTCCCATTTCAAATCGAAGTGTGGATTATGGTTATTCCGTCCCTGTCTCTCCATCGAACTGCTATGAGGAGCCACACCAATGGGCAGATCACAAGAAGCTTCATTTGCATCTAGAACTTATTTAGATGACAGGACCCTGAACTCTGGGCCTGCTGTTGTTATGAAACTTCTGGGAACCTAGGATGGAGATGTGCATATTTTACATGTGGAATGTGAACAATTTGTGAAGGATGAGAATCTAGATGGAGAAAGGCTGTGCCAAGCATCCTGGCCTTCCTAGCCATTCCAGTGAATCATAAACATTAATAAAACAATAACTGTTTTAAGTCACTAAATTTGGAGGTGGTTTGCTATGGATAAATGATATGTTTTTGCAGGTCTTGTGATGTTAAAAGGTTAAACCATTTAAATGATCTGAGTTGGGATTTGCCTAAAGCTAACAGAAATTACAGCCCAGTTCATACCTATTGTCCTGGTATAATTATTCATAGCATCCTCTTTCAGTGGTTTGGCCAATAGACTCAGTGGTCATCCCACTTATAATATACTGCATAGCAATGAGTTAAGGCTTTCCAGCTAGCTGTAAGTTAACATATTTAATCATATAAATGTATTTCAGATGAAATGTAAAATCCAAAACAGTGCTGTTGTAAAGCCCAGCTGTTTTGTGAGGCCTGAAAACAGTCCACTGGCAGACTGCTGAACAGCTGAGGTTAAAGCACCAATGAGCTACCAATGGCTGCCAGAACAAGAACACTTTCTCCACGTCTGCAATGTATTTGGATTTCTACAGTATGAATTAGACAAAGGACATAATTGAGAAAATATGTTATGTGTTTTGTCTTTTCTCTCCTTCTTTCCCATGCTAATAATTAAAGTGTGTATCATTAAGAAGTCTGACGACAATGAAGAGTCAATTATCAAGATTTTTGAACCCTTTATCTTGTTATCTTTGAATTAAAATCAGGAAGTTATAAAATTCTTTCAGTCACAATGTCCCTGCCAAACTTACTGTCTTTTAAAAATTTCACGATAATTAAGCCTTGAATAATGAGGGCATTCTTGGAAATCTTACTGACCAAAAAAATTAGTATCTACCAAAAGCAATTTAACAAGATTACCCAGTTTTGATAATGGCTCCATCCACCAAATAGCCTGGTACAGAAGTGATAGTAATTCATTGGATTAAAAACTTCTCGAGTACGCATTTAAGAGATCTTTGTTGGAAAACAGAGTAGAGTACACATTTAAGAGATCTTTGTTGGAGTACACATTTAAGGGATCTTTGTTGGAAAATAAATGAAAGACTTGAAATTAAGCAAGGACTTAAAAAAAGTTAGACTTCCTTTAGCAACAATTGTCACATACAATATACGTGGTGTCACTAAAGATTTACAAGCATGAAAGAAGGAAAAAGAGTAGGGAAAAAATAGTAAAAGACAAAAATATATAGCAATAGAAGAGTTCCAAAAAGGAGATAAGGAGAGAATACATTGGTGAAGGTAATTACTTATGCATTAGCAATAGCTCAATTTTGGAATCTTGGAAACTTTTATTTGAAGTACTCATTTATTTAATGCTAATAGAAATCATTATCAACTCTCACCTTGCTCCTTTCTCACATTCCTACCTTTCTAATCCAGAGTTTGAGAATTAAAAAATATTTTCTTAAGAATGAAAAAAAGTAAAAAAAAAAAAAAAAAGTAATTTATTTTTCATTCCTAAATACACCTTGGTGTGTGTTTAGGGTTGCCAGGCATTCTATATATATGGACATGGCCTGAATTTAATGATTTTTATCCTGTGTCCTGTATTGACTTTGTCAGAACACCCTAAATATTCTGTATTTAGCTTTTTTCAATAAATTACAAAAATTTGGGTGCCTGGGTGGCTCCTAGTTGCTTAACCGACTGCCCTCTGCTCAGCTCATGATCCTGGAGTCCCAGGATTGAGTCCTACAACAGTCTCGCTGCTCAGAAGGGTATCTGCTTTTCCCTCTGACCCTCCCCCATCTCACGCTCTCTCTGTGTCTCTCATTCTCTCCCTCAAATGAAAAATAAAATTAAAAAAATAAAATAAAATAAATAACAAAATTTTGGTAGTCAGGAAAAATATTTTTTTTAATATTTTAAGGTCTTCTTTATCATCAAAAAAGCAATATTATCTATCAGAATTTGAGAGGACTGAAAAGTAAAATTAAAAACAAAGAATACCAATAATCTCTACCCACTGTTAGCATCTTGATACATATTCTTCTAGGTCCTTTTCCTTATGTTTATGCATGCAGAATACTATCTCTCTAAATGTGCGACAATATCATAGGCTGTTTTTTTTTTTTTGTTTTGTTTTTTAAAGATTTTATTTATTTATTTGACAGACAGAGATCACAAGTAGACAGAGAGGAAGGCAGAGAGAGAGAGGGAAGCAGGCTCCCTGCTGAGCAGAGCGCCCGATGTGGGGCTCGATCCCATGACCCCGAGACCATGACCTGAGCCGAAGGCAGCGGCTTAACCCACTGAGCCACCCAGGCGCCCCTCATAGGCTGTTTTATAACCCTTTTCACAGAGGAATATATTTAGAAAGTTTTCATGTCACTAGATGAACATTTTAAAAGCTTGCAAACTGTATTAAAACTCTGCCCTCCTAGAGAGGATGAACAAATTAATCTCTCAACCTAGGGACATCTAAGTATAAATCTTCCTGAACTTACAATAGAATTACATTCCAATAAGCCCATCATAAACTGAAAACACCTTAGGTTAAAAATGCATTTAATACACCTCATCTAATGAACACCATA